CATGCCTGTAGTCCCAGCTACTCGGGAGGCTGAGGCAGGAAGATCACTTGAGCCCAGGAGTTTGAGGTTGCTGTGAGCTAGGCTGATGCCACGGCACTCTAGCCTGGGCAACATAGTGAGACTCTGTCTCAAAAACAAAAAAAAAGCCAATGTATACTTGGGAGAGTCTTTATTTTTTTCAAATCTGATTTTCATAAAAGTAGTAGCCTCTCTACCTCCTAGCTTCATCATTAAGTAGGCAGTGACATTTACACCAGCTGTGCATAAAAAAAAAAAAAGCACAGCAAGGTATCAGAACTGTCAAGTATTCCCAATACAAGTATGACAGATCAGATGTAGTAGTGAACATGTGTTGATACTATTCTCTAGGAATTAAAAAAACCTTGAGGGATATCCTTTAGCACAGGGTTCTAGCCACTATGGCCTGCTATTCCTAGGAGGCAGCTAAAATGCCATAAGAAAAAGACTGGACCAAAAAAAAAAAATCTGAATCCACTCTCAGCTCTGCTGCTTACTAGTTGTGTGACCTTTGGAAAGTACAACTCTGTAAATGTCACTAGAATTGGGTTAGATAATGAATAGAAAACTGCTATGCAAATTTCGGGTGTTGCTCTAATTTACACATATACCTTCTGTTTACACACAAATGAACTCTTCTACTATACCATTCGCACCCCTGTCCCAGGCACAGATAATCAAGCTTTACCAGATACCTTTCAGTTTCTGCATATATTGCCCAACTTGCCCTCTGATCCTTATTTACTGAGAACATATACAGTTGATCCTTAAACAACACAGGTTTGAAAGTGAGGGTCCACTTACACGTGGCTTTTTTTCAATCAAATGTAGATTGAAAATGCAGTATTCTCAGGATGTGAAACCTGATTATACAAAGATCCTATGGAGGGCTGACTTTTATACTCTACAGGACCGGCTGCAGGATGTACATTTGGTTATATGAGGGTGGTCCTGGAACCAATCTCCCATTTTTACCAAGGGACCTCAGTATCCTTAGGGGATTGGTTCCAGGACTCCACCCCCACCCTTCCCAGGATACGAAAATACATGGATGCTCAAGTACCTTATATAAAATGGTGTAGTATTTGCATATAACCTATGCAAGTCCTCTTGTATACTTTAAATCATCTCTCAATAACTTATAATACCTAATACAATGTCAATGCTATGTAAATAGTTGTTATACTGTATTGTCTAGGGAATAATGACAAGAAAAAAATGTATGCACATGTTCAGTACAGATGCAACCATCCATTTTTTCCCCCGAATATTTTCAATCCACAGATGGTTGAATCCATGGATGTAGAACCCACAGATACAGAGGCCCAACTCTATTCATCCTCTAAGACTCAACTCAAATATCACCTATTCATGGAAGCCTTGCAGAATCCGTCCTGTGGAATCTGTTATATATCGCTGATCTTTTAATGTGCTTCTTTTATACCTTGGTTATGGTGACTCAGACCTCCTGCACCATAGTCTGTACTAGTCTGACTGGAAAGCCCTAGGAGATAGGGTGCCACATCTTATTTACCTTCCTTGCTCCCTTGTGTTTGGGACTTGGGATTTAATACCAGCTTTGCAACTAAGTAGTGAACTCAGCCTATCTAGATCTGTGATAGAAGATGGTTGGTCTTTAATTATTTTCCTATAGTAGAGTAATACAGAATCAGAGAGAGAACTAAAATTCTATATTCATGTTTCAGAATCTTTAGAATTTTCATATTGGACAATAGTTATAGGTAGCTTTCACTGAATTCCTATTTAGACACAATTTCATGACCATATAAATGATAAAGCCAAGATTAAACTCTAAAATTGTTACCTAAAAATCTTATCTTGGGAAATTTTCAATTATTAAGATGACTAATATTCCTGAGTTCTCAAATGTATTAATTTCATAAAAACATAAATTTATATACCAACTTGCTACATTTATATAAACAGCTTCTTTTTATCCTTGTGCCAACAACAGCTGTAGCAGCAGCAACAGAACCAGTACCATCTTGTACCAACACCACTACTTGACTCAGCAAGTTGGCAGGGCTACAGGGGAACAGGTTCTTTACCTGTGTAAATCTCCTCAAGGATAAGAACTCTATCTTAATACATTCCTAATATTCCCAACATCTAGTTCCATGTCTTGCAAATGGATAGCATTCAGCAATGTTCACTGAATTAATGCCCCTGAATTCCATTCTCTACATACTGTGATTTCACTATATGTTCTAGAAGAAAAGATGCCCTAGTCAGCAACAGACATTAATGGCAAAATAGACTTTAAAGTATATATTTTCATATCTAGTCTCAAGGTTATACATTAACATGTATTTCTAGTAACAATGTATTTAAAAACCCAACCATATACCAATATGCAATCCATGGTAACTACTTCATGACTCTAAGAAAAGAACGCTGCTGAGTCATCACCATTTCAAGAACACAAAGATGAACTTACCATCATCTAATGTGATGTCCTGTAGACCAATGGTTGCAAAGTGAGGTTCCTGATCTTCGGGCTCAGGTTTAATGCTCACAGTTGCCCCATCAGGCGGAAATGAAGCTGGATCGCACAAGCTTTGACATATTAAGGATGAAGATGCAGAAAGACCTCCCTGGCCTGTACTCTGTGCTTGAGTTGAGTGCTGTCCAGAATGCATTCTGGTGTCTGGAGACGGTGATGAGGCAGTTCCTGAGCTAGGAGATTGGTAAGGCATAGGCTGCAGCTGAGGAGATGGTGGCCCAGAGAGTGGTGAACTAGCCAGGGGATGAGAGGTTGCTGAGGAAGCTGTTGTAGCTGACCCTGAATGTGAAGGACCATATGTAATAGGTTGTAATTGGGGAGAAGACTGACCTGTGACCTGGTCAGCCACTGGAGAAGAAAGAGATCTTTGTCCTGTATTTGAACAATGGTATCCCATTGACTGCAGATGAGGCGGGGCATGCACAGAATGAGGTGGATGTGCTAAGAGATGTCCTGTTGCACCTGAATTTGAAGAATGAAATGGTGTGGATGACAGTGGTTGACAGCCAAGATTTACTAAACTAGGAAGAGCTACATCCTGCTGAAACAAAACTGGATCAAATTCTTGACCAGAGGCAGCATTAATAGGAAGACAAGTTGGTCCATTGTACACAACATTAGTTTGCATAGGCTGATAGGAAGACCCCACAGGAGGTGTTCGTGTGACTTGAAAAGGCTGGTGTACAACTGGAGAAGGTATCATATGCTGTTCTTTACCAGCACTCTCATCCCTACACTGCAACTGTGGCAGATGGGATGAGGTTATCATGGATGCATATGCTTGCTGGATGGGACACACCAAGCTTCTCTGTGTTGACAGTACACTGTCATGTGGGTGCCCTGGATCAGAGGTAGGCCTCTGGGTTTGGGCAGGATGAGGCACAGGCAAAGATGGAACTGAGGTCAAATCAATCTCTTCTCTGTGTTCTTGTTTCATCAAAACTAGAAAGAAAATGATTAAAGCAGATGTTATTACACAATACATAAAATAATTATGATAGGCCTTCTTTCTAGGCTACTCAACTATATGCATCCAAGCCAGAGGGGACAAACTCAAACACCTTCAGGGAAGGCAGTTCATGTAAAATATTGTGTGCATAGACATACATACATGTGCACACATGTACATATATTTTTGCTTGTGAATACACAGATATCTCTGGGAAGACTCACAAGAAACTGATAAGTGCTAGATTTATTGCTGGGAAGGGAAACTAGGTGACTAAAAGAGGCAAGAGGGAGATTCACTTTTTACTGTATACACTTTTTTGTGCCTTTTAAATGTTTCTAACTGTGTATATACTACATATTGAAGAAGAATAATTTTTTAACCCTCCCCCCCAAATCCTACAGTCTAATAAAGCATTGAATTTGGGGATCCCTGCTCTGAAACATTCCAGTCACCTGGTTTTGCATGTTGCATGATATACCAGAAATCACAAATCTGGCATTCACAGAGCTTCTGGTTTACATGCATCTCATTTGATTCTACATCACCATGGGAGGATCAAAAGTAGTGCTAAAATCCATAAAAAGCTAATAAATTCAGCAAAGTTGCAAGATACAAAAATCAACATGCAAAAATAAGTTGTATTTCTACAAAGTGGTAATAAACAATCCAAAAGAAAATTAAGAAAACAATTCCGTATTCAATAACATCAAAAAGAATATTTAGAAATAAATTTAACCAAGGAGGGCAAGACTTACACACTGAAAACTGTAACACTGCTGAACGAAACCAAAGACCTACATAAATGGAAAGACCTTCTAGGTTCATGGATTGAAGACTTAATATTGCCAAGATGATAATACCTCAGTATGATCTTCCAATTCAACGTCATCCCTATCAAAATTCCAGTGATGCTGTTTGCAGAAATAGAAAAACTTAGCCTAAAATACACGTGGAATCTTAAGGGACCCCAAATAGCCAACACAATCTTGAAACAGAAAAACAAAGTTGGAGGATTCACACTTCCTGATTTAAAAACTTACTACAGACTGGGAGCGGTGGCTCATGCCTACAATCCTAGCACTCTGGGAGGCAAAGGTGGAAGAATCACTTGAGCTCAGGAGTTCAAGACCAGCCTAAGCAAGGGTGAGACCCCATCTCTACTAAAAAATAGAAAAATTAGCTGGGCATCATGGCACATACTTACAGTCCCAGCTATTAATACTCAGGAGGCTGAGGCAGGATGATCACTTGAGCCCAGGAGTTTGAGGTTGCAGTGAGCTACAATGGCACCACTGTACTCTAGCACAGGTGACAGAGTCTCAAAAATAAATAAAATAAAATAAAATAATCTGTAGGGGAAAGAACTTACTACAAAGCTACAGCAATCAAAATAGTGTGGCACTGGCATAAGGATGGACATAGAGACCAATGCAGAAATAAAGTCTCACATATTTGGTCAACTGATCTTCAAAAATAAAGGTGCCAAGACTATTTAATGGGGAAAGAACAGTCCTCTTTAACAAATGGTGCTGGGAAAGTTAGATATCCACATGTAAAAGAATGAAATTGAATCCATATCTTATATAATATACAAAAATTAATTCAAAATGGATCAAAGACCTAAATTTGGAGGCCAAACCATAAAACTCTTAGAAGGAAATACAGGACAAATCTTCATGACCTTGGATTTGGTAGTGGTTTCTTAAATCAGACTTCATCAAAATTAAAAACTTTTGCATATCAATAGACACTATCAAGAGAGTGAATGGGAAAAATATTCACAAATAATGTATCTGAAAAGAGTTTAATATTCAGAATACACAACAAACTCCTACAACTCAACAATATTAGAGCAGAGATTTGAATGTGACCCTAGGATTGACCTAGAGGGAGATATACACGCATATGTGAATCTATGTGTGTGAGGATATGCAAGTTCTTTTCTCTAGGATTACTAGTTACAAAGACCAAACCTAGAGATGCCATCTAGTAAGAGCTTACCCGAGAGTAAAGCCAACAGAAAGAAATGCAGTGTTAAGAAGAAGAGAAAGGCTGAGCCCTAAGACAACACTGTTTGAGTTGAACCATGTCAGAAAGCAGCCTTCCAGTTAACCTTCCAACTACACAGGCCAATAAATTCTCTTTTTTGTTTAAGCTAGTCTGAATTGGATTTCTGTCATTTGCAGTGAAAGATCCTAATTCACTTCAAGACAGTCTTTATGAGGTTATTTTCCCTACCTTATAGGTGAGTATATTGAAGAGGAGTTTAATGACACTAAGATCTCACAGCAGTAAAGTGGCACCAAAAGGATTTGAACTCAGGTTTTTCTGCCTCCAAAGTCCACACTTTTAATCACTGCAGTACACTGTATTACAAAGGGAGATTCCACTTCACCATCTGTCATGCAAGCAGAGGCTATGAATATCAACCATTATCCTTTATCACATCAAAAAAGGGACCAAATCCATGATTTAGGATGAATCTACCTGATGAAATGACTGCTCAAAGTAGGAGTCAATGCATTTTGCTTATTTTATTTAATGTGCATATCACAAGAGAAAAGAGCCATTAGTTAATTTATTAGGTGTCAACATAATTGATTTCATTGTTTCCCTTAGCAAATACTTCTAGTCCACTTTTCTAAAAAGTATCTACTTCAGCCTCCTATTGAAGTGCTGTAACTCATTAAAAATTTTTTTCTGAACTCACATCTTATTATTCCTTTCAAGTTGTAATACTAATTAACATAATTAAAAATTTCATGATCTTCACAAAATGTAAGTACTTAATTTTATGTCAAAAGAAGGTAACAATGACACCTAAAGCAAGGTCAAATCTCATCTGACTATTTATTAAACTCCTGTCAAATCTCTCCATATAAACATGTTCTCAATCTGAGGAAATGAAGGTTCTGAAAGGTTAAGTACCTTATTTAAGGTCACTTGGTTAGTTCAAGTCTTTTGCTCAGGCTAAGAATTAAGACAGCCCTGATAGTGTATTTTATTATAAGAGAAGTAGTTAATGAAGCACTTGTTTAGAGGTACATTTGAATTCTTCGTTTTACTCTGGCTTCCTAACAAGAACAGAATGGGCTCATGATCCACCTGTTTTAACCTCCAAACCTGGCAATTGGTGACCCCAGTCCTAACAATGAGACAACCCAAAAGACAGACAGAAAGGTTATCACCAGTCTTTTCATTGCTTCTACAGCAATGCTCATGTTCCTGACTCAAGGCTCCATCCAGGTTCTGATTCTTGCTCAGGTGTTTCAAGTTCACTCTTTTTTACTGGCTCCTGACCTCCCTAATGTCTTCAGTGTACATACTTTTCTTCTGACTTTTGGCAGAAATAGAACTGTGTCCCTGGACCACTAGATTCTTTTTTTCTCTTCTACTTCAGCTCCTACTCTGGTTTCAGGGAAGCCACAGTGAATCCTATACCCAGAGTTACAATTCTATACAAGGAGAGAGAATATCCAAGAAAGCCTCCTACTCTCATCACTTAATTAATCCTGATGGACGGTAGAGCTCTTTGTTACATAAGTGGTTGGTTACCATGAACTAAAAAGTGGGACTCTCTCATGGTCATTCATCATAAAAAATAAAAAATAACAAAAAAAAGTGGGACTAAAAACAGGGGCTGAAAACTAAAGCATAACAGTCACCTTTTTTTGCATGATTCAATCCTTATTCCTATGTGCCTGACCCATATCCAGACACCCAAATTGAGAGTTTCACTCTGCTAAACTGAGTGTTACTTTCCACTCTGCCAAATCCAGTATTTCTCTTGTTGCCCATAAGAGGTTCAGACTCCAACCTTACCAAACTACAGAATTAATCAGTGCTGGTCCATCCAAACTAATTTATTCTTATTTGGACAGAAATACAGTTAAAGGGATCTTACAATATCTAGAATAAGAGTTTTAGAAACACATGAACTGTATTCTTTTTTTTGGTTGCAACTGTCAGAGAGAATGAACTCTAACTTTTGTGTTATACATGTTCATTCTCAAATTTAGGATGTTGATGCATGAAGGGATTCAGAAAAAAAAAATCAACTGGTCTAGTAGTTTTCAAATCATGGGTAGGTAGCCTGATGCTCCCCTTCAAGTAGCAGATGTGGAAGACTAGGATGCAGCAAGTAGAAGTTCTGGATTTCCTTTTCCAATGTAAACAGAACAGCTTAGCTAGCTTTCATTCTTTTTTATACATTGGCTTTTACATAAGGCTTTATATGAAGAATAAAACAACATAAACAATATGAAAACCACCAAATTAGTCTTTTACTCTTACTGGGTACTGTCTGTGGCAGGGCTGAGACCTAATCTCCTGACAAAAGCAGACTTTGTCCCACAATCAGAGCCATCACAATCCAAAAGTCAGTCTGTCCAGTCAACTACTTACAAAATAGAATATACTTTCTCACAGGCACAATGTTAAACATGAGAGTTTGGCTCTAATGCTGCCCATAAAAGCCACATTATTCCAAAACTAGAGCTCAGGTGGTACCTCTGGTGCAAATAACTTCTGCTGGGCTTCAGAGGGAGACACATTGCTTCAATAGCTTCAAGCATGGTCGGGTGGGGGAATCCCGCATCAGAAGCTCTGAAGTTAGAGGCTGGGCAAAAGTTTAGGCAGCACCACTAGGGTGGTCAGGGGACTTTGGAAATCACATACATATGCTGGGAACTGTCTTCATTTTATAAAGAAACTGATTGCTGGACAAATAATGCTAAATATGATATCTAATAAAAATAATTTAAAAGAATCAGCCATTTGCAATTAATGACCCACTGGATATTGATATTGGTCAGATCCCTATTGCAAGAAGGTTGCCAAAAAGGTAATAAATTAACAAATCCTTTAATAATAAACAAGCAATGTATATCTATAATTTTTATAAGTAAAATTTAAAAAGGAATTATTTGCCATTAACAAAAAGTTAAAATTTCTAATATAAAGGATTCATACAAATTAATATGATTAAAAAAACCCACTAACATACCAAAGACTGGGTCACGGAATAGAATACTAAGAAGCTATCAAAATTCTGTAAAACTCTATCCACTGATGATGAAAAATAAAAATATTCAGTAATAAAATTATAAATCGGCTGCTGGTCCC